CGGAAAGAGAAACACATCAATGTGAGAGAGACACATTGATTGGTTGCCTCCCGCTTGCTCCCTGTCCAGGGGCAGGGAGTGAACCCGAAGCCCAGGCACATGTCCTTAACTGAGAATTGAACCTTGACCTTTTGGTGCTCAGATTAACACTCTCATCACTGACCCACATTGGCCGAGGTGTTATTGTTTTTTTAGACTATTCTGCTTATTTTCCCTCTGATCTTTATTATTTTCTTCCTTCTACTCACTTTGGGCATTAATTTTTTTGGTTTGTCCATTTGTTGCTCTCTGTTTTATATTGCACGTAAGAGTGAAGTCAGACGGCTCTTCTCCTTTCCATGTGATACTTCATTTGGTATGATACTGTCAGCGTCCATCCACATTGTCGCAGATGGCGGGTGTTTCATCTTTCATTGTGGCTGAGTAGTAGTCTACCCTGTCCAGGGTGGGCAGAAGTAGGTTTACAGTTGTGTACACAAAACAGTTTATTCTTGTATTATTACGTATTAATTATTGTATTACTTTACATACGAACAACCATAAACCAACTTTTGCCCCACCCTGTATAAGTGAAATCATGGTATTTGTCTTTCTTTAAAAATGATGTGTTTTTGAAGCAAGGTTCATAAAGACCTTTCTAAAAATTTTCTATTATTTTTACAAATTGACATTAAGATATTATTCAAGATACACATAAAAAGGAAAGTAAACATCACCCCAGTTACTATAATCTGACTATTAATATTTTTAAAAATCCTTTATATTTCTTTTTCTTTTTAAAAAATGTTTTATTGATTTTTAGAGAGAGAGAGAAAGGGCGAGGGAAGGAGAGAGAGAGAAACATTCAGTGTGAGAGAGAAACATCGGTCGGCTGCCTCCTGCCTGCACCCTGACCAGGGATGGAGCTTGCAACCTGGGCACATGCCCTGACTGGGAATTGAACCAGTGACCTTTTGGTGCATAGGACAACACTTAACCAACTGACCCACTCCAGCCAGAGCAATGTATTTCTTTTTCAATATTAATTCATATAGGTGTATTTTATACAAATGGGATCGTACTACATTTCCTCTTTTGTAACTTGCTTTTATTACCCCAAAATAGACCATCATAATAATTGTAGATGACATTATCATTTCTAATGTTTATATATGTACCATAAATTTATTTAACCATTTAAAGTTCAGAGAGTATGTTTGTGTAGATTGATCTCCTTAAAATCCTAGATGTGCTAATACTGCTGAGTCAATGCATTGTAGGCAGTTTCATTTTGTGGACATCATAGGATGTACTTACCCAAACCTAGATGTATAGCCTACTACACATGTAGGCTCTATGGTATAGGCTACTGCTTCTAGGCTGCAAACTTGTACAACATATTACTGTATTGAATACTATAGGCAGTGGTAACACAATGGTAAGTATTTGTGTATCTAAGCATAGAAAAGGTATAGTAAAAATTTGGCATGAAAGATTTAAAAGTGGCACACATATGTAGGGTGACACTTAGAATGAATGGAGCTGGCAGGGCAGGAAGTTGTTCAGGGTGAGTCAGTGAGTGGTGGTGAGTTAGTGCCCAGGGCCTAGGACATCACTGTGCACTACTGTAGACTTTATAAACACTGCACACTTAGGCCACACTAAATTTATAAAAAAAATTTTCTCAATAATAAATTAACCTTAGCTTACTGTAACCTTATTACTTTTTATAAATTTAAAAAACATTTTTTTAAACTTTTTGATTTTTTTATATTAACACTTAAAACAGAAACACATTGTACAGCTGCACAAAGTATTTTTTTTTCTATCCTTATTCTATAAGCTATTCTATTTTTAATTATTATTATTATTATTTTTTACTTTTAAACTATTTTGTTTAAAACTAAGAAACACACGTTACCCTCAGGCTTGGGCTTACACAGGGTCAGGACTGTCAATATCACTGTCTCTCACCTGCACATCTTTTCCCACTGGAAGGTCTTCCCGGGAGTAACACACGTGCAGCGGTCATCTGTGATAACAAGGCCTCCTCCTGGAACACCTCCTGAAGGACCTGCCTGGGGCGCTTCTTGAGGAGGTGTCACTCTCTTCAGAAATCTGTCCATGGTGGTTCGCTTGGTTTGCTGCTTTTTTTCAGCATAGATTTTCTTGTAAGCAGATAAGACACCACAAACATTCCTCTCTATACATGAAACAACCACCTTTCAGTGTTGGGGGGTCCATATTTTCATACTTTGAGGAGCTTGTTGAGGCCTTCAAAAGCTTCAGCTAAAGTCTTCATTGAACTTTCCTGGGGTTCTTAATTTTCCTTCTGCAGTTTCCTCTCCTTTTGCCCCCCCTTCCGCCCTGTGTTTCTGTTGAACTCATGGGTCAGGGCCTCAGGCACCACCTCAGGGCCATCCTCACCCACCCAGGTTAAAGTTGTTTGCCGGCTCAGCCATGGCCCTGTTGATTTTTGCAGTCTTTGCACTACAACCTCATGATGGCTACGAAGTCAGTAGGTGGTCAGGATTTTTTTAGGTCTTACTAATCTCATGGGACCATAATTGAATGTGAGGTCTGTTGTTGACTGAAACATCTTTGTGTGGCACATGACTATATTTAAAATTTCAAATACTTATTTCCACATTGTATTGCATGTAGTTTTAAAGTAATTTTTGTTAGAGAACTCTTTTGGAAAAATAATTTTTGGAAAATTGTGGTAATTGGTTTTAGATATCTAAAAATACTGTGCTTTTATATTTTCCATCATTTTAGCTTTTGCCTATGATGACAGAGCAGCTACAGTGGATGCCATTTGTAAACGCCAAACTTCACGAGCCTTTTGTAAAATTTATATATTGGTCTCTACGGCAACTAGAAGCTGGAACGCTGGTAATTTATTAACAGGAGTCTATCTTCAGCTGCTACTCTGTTTGGTATTATTTCTTTGATCTTGTTCTTTCACTTTTCTTGTGTGTATTCTGTTTATATTTCAGGACTTCTCCTTGCTTCCCTTGCTTTGTTTACTACTTTCTCTTCTTTCTCCTTTCATACATCTATAATTCTCAGTTCCATAGATGTGATTCAGTATGTAATGTTGTGTTTTGAGTTTCAGAATTGTATAAATAAGGAGTTGTTAAAACCAACTGTCATCCCTCCATTATTTAATTTACAATTTTTTATATTCTACTGAAGGTAATAGAAGTTAATGATTTCTTGTCCTTATGCTGGTAAATACACACTAGCTAAATGGGGTGGTGAATGTTAGGGTAACCTAATCAAAGAAGAAAATTATTCCAGTGTCTTCTAAAATGAATGGTGCGTTACCTACTCATGTAAGGGGCATTTAGTTCAAATTATGACATGTATGTATAATTAGTGCGAATGGTAGCAGGTTTGTATATCAACCCCACCCCAGTTACTATTGATAAATGTTGTTAATAGCTTTCATTTGGTTAAAAAAGGAGAACAAATTTGTGCTCGGCAGTTTAATCTTGGTCATTTAGAATTGAGGAGGCACACAGCTAATCTACTCAGTGCAGGACTGATGATTAAGTAGCATTAACATCAGTGACTGAGTAGTGTGATGGTTAAATAATGTGATGATTAAGGTTAAGGAAAAATACCTTTTCTGAGGTGATGTCCTAGATATTTTGCCTCCGTGCTGCACATGATTAAGTACATGAGTGTTTATGCTAGCGTGTATACCCACACACAGAATATCATTTTTAATTTATTGGTCTTAACTATGTGTCTCAACAAACAAAGGTATATAAATGATCAGACCTGTAAATGTCACTGTCTTCTTTTTACAATGTGCTTGATTTTGCTATTTGTATAGCCGTTTATGAAAATGGATAGCTGACTGCTTGCTTTCACAAACAAAAAAGGTTAGACTTACAAAGCTGAATGAAACTTTGTTTTATCTTCCTTCCACATATTCTTATTTGCCTTCAGATAAATTATAGTTTATTTTTGTCTTCAAATATATATTCAGCATCCTACTGTGTCTATTATAGAGAGTACTGTGAGCCTGCGTCTACTTTTCTAGTGAAAAACTGGTTTTGAGACTCTAACATTCATTTATTCAACATTGATTGATGTTTCTAATACTTCAGTTTTAACAATTGTCTTAAGTGCATGTACTTTTGTAAAAATTTAGCTTTTTATTTGAGATAATTATAGATTCACTTGTAGTTATAAGAAATAATAGATTGCTTGTATTCTTTACTCAGTTTCTCCCAATGGTAGAACTAGTACAATATCACAACAACGATATTGCCATTGATACAGTGAAGTTAACAGGATAGTTTCATCTACAAAGATTGCTCATTTTAAAAAAATATATGCACTTTATTTGTTAGAGAAGATTTAGGTTCACAGCATAATTGAGCCCAGAGATTTCCCATATGTCATCTGGTCCTAATACATACATGGCCTTGACCACTAAAAACATCTAGCACCAAAGTGGGACATTTGTTACCGTCTATTATTGACACATCATTATCACCCAAAGTCCATGGTTTACATTAGGGTTCACTCTTGGTGTTTTACACTTTATGGGACTTGATAAACGTGTATTGGGATATAACCATCACTTTTGTGTTATATAGAATGATTTGATACTAAAAATTTGCTCTAAACATCCTCTGTGCTCTGCCTATTCATGCCTCTCACCCCTAACTCTTGGACACCACTAATCCTTTTACTGTCTTTATAGCTTTTGCTTTTACAGAATGTCATATAGTTGGAATCATACAGTATATATAGAGCCTTTTCAAATTGGCTTCTTTCATTTAGCAATATGCATTTTGAGCTCCTTCATGTCTTTTCATGGTTTGATAGCTCATTTCTTTTCAGATCTGAATAACATTTCATTTCTGTATGTATCACAGTTTATTTATACACGCACTGAAGGGCATCTTGATTACTTCTAAATTTTGGCAAGTACGAATAAAGATTCTGTAAACATCCATGTGCAGGTTTTTGTGTGGACATGTTTTTAACTCCTTTGGGTAAATACCAAGGAGCACAATTATTGGATAGTATGGCAGGAATATTTTTAGTTTTTTGAAAAGCTGCACACTGTTTCCCAAAGTGACTGCATCATTTTGCATTTCCAGCAGAAATGGCAGAGCTTCTACTGCTTCACATCCTCATCAGCATTTGGTGGTGGTGTGTTTTGGGCTTTGGTCATTCTAATTGATGTGTAATGGTATCTCATTGTTTTTTAAATATACACTATCCTAATGACATACACTGTTGTGCATCTTTCCATATGCTTATTTGTCACTTGTATGTTTACTTTGGTGACAGGTCAAGGTCCTTCCCCCACTACTTTTTTTTTTTTTTAATCCTTGCCCAAGGATTTGTTTTAGAGAGAGGAGGGAACAGACACAGAGAGAATAACATCTATCAGTTGCCTCCCGTATGCACCCTGACTAGGGATGACCCTGCAGCCTAGGTATGTGCCCTGACCAGGAACTGACCCTGCAACCTTTTTGGTGTACAGGACAGTGCCCAACAAACTGAGTCACCCAACCAGGGCTGCCCATTTTTTAATTGGTTTGTTTGTCTTCTTATTGTTGAGTTTTTAGAATTCTTTTTATATATCTTTTTGTGTTTAATTTTATTTATTTTTCAATTATAGTTTGAATTCATCAGTTTTGTATTCAGGTGTACAGCACAGCTGGTAAATATTCATATAGGTTATGAAGTGTTTCCTCCAGTAATTCACGTGCCCACCTGCCATCCTATATAGTTATTACAATATTCCCTATGCGTTACCATACATCCCCGTGCCTATATTGTAACTACCACTTACACTTTTAAATCCCTTCACCTTATTTCACCCTGCCCCACAACACTACCCCACTCTAACATTCATCAGTATGTTCTTGGTATCTATAATTCTGCTTCTATTTTGTTTGTTCTTTTGTTTTGTTCTTTAGATGCCACATATAAGTAATATCATATGGTATTTGTCTTTCTCTGACCTATTTCACTTAGCATAATACCCTCTAGATCCATCCATGCTATCGTATTCATTCTTTTTTATGGCCGAGTAATATTCCATTGTGACACCTTGCACTACCTTGAATACATCATGCCATTCCCATCTGGCCTGTAGAGTTTCTGATGAGAAGTCAGCTGACAGCCTTATGGGAGCTCCTTTGTAGGTAACAGATTGCTTTTCTCTTGCTGCCTTTAAGGTTCTCTCCTTGTTTTGAATGTTTGGCATTTTAATTATGATGTGTCTGGGCATGGGCATCTTTGGATTCTTCTTGCTTGGGACTCTCTGTGCCTCCTGAACTTGTGTGACTTTTTCTTTGACAAGGTTAGGGAAGTTTTCTGCCATTATTTCTTCAGACAGGTTCTCTAATCCTTGCTTACTTTCTAGATCTTCTGGCATTCCTATGATGCGAATATTGTTGGGTTTCATGTTGTCCCATAGCTCCCTTAAACTGTCCTTCTGTTTTTTAATTGTTTTTTCTTTTTGGTTCTCTGAGTAATTTTTTTCTAACCCTGTCTTCTAATTTGCTGATCTGATCCTCACCTTCCCCTAATCTGCTGTTTTTTCCTTCTACTGTTGGTTTTTTTTTTAATTTCTACTGTGTCATTTTTAATTTCCTTCATAGTTTCCATTTCTTCTCTCATGCTGTTGAGCATCCTTATGATCAGTATTCTGAACTCTGTATCTGACAGATTGCTTATCTCCATTTTACTTAGGCTTCTTCTGAAGATGTCTCTTGTTCTTTCATTTGGGGCTTGTTCTTTTGTCTCCCCTTTTTGGCTGCCTGTTTGGATTTGTTTCTATGTGTTAGGTAGCCCTGCTAGGACCCGCAGTATTTTTGAATGGTCTCTGCTGTAGGTCAATGTCAGACGCTGTTTGTGACTGGCCTTGCATACCCTGTTTGGAGCTATCAACAACCCGTGGCTTGAGGTCCCCTCTGTTGGTGCTGGGTGCATTTGGACAGGACCAAGATGCATACCAAAGTCTGCTTTTCCAAGGCCCAGGTCCAGAAACAGGTCAGGCATAGACTGGAAGCACTGTGAGATCTGTCCCTGCCTGCAGGCTGATTAATCTGATTCTCTTAATGAACCTCAGGCTGTAGAAACTCCACCGGGTGGGGTGGCTTATTGTTATCAGTCTCGTAAAGAGCCTCAGGCTGTAGAAACTCCTTTGGGTAGGGTGAGAATTTTTCTAGCAGAGTGGGGCAATTGCTTCCCCCTCTGGCAAAAGCTGCTTAGAAGGTAAATGTCTACCTGTGAAAGATGCCCTCTGCAGTATGGGGGAATGACTTGACACAGGAATCCAGAGGGGTACCCTCTGAGTTCTGTCTCCATAGCCCACAACCCTAGATTCTCCTCACACAGCTCCAGTCCACTCTGCCCTCCCTCTGCTGGAGCCCAAGCTGAGTGGCTACACACGAAACTGTGTGTGTTGGCCCTTTAAGAGGGTGCATGCATTTCCAGCTGCCTCTCCCTGGCAGACAGAAACCTGGCTCCAGCTTTTCACAGCCAGATGTTATGTGGGCACCTTTCTCAGTTCTGGAGCTCTTGTCTGGGAAGCCCAGCCTGGGGTTTAGGCCCAACAGTCCTCAGTGGCAACCCCGTACAGCTGAGATATCCCTCCAGACTGTCAGCTGCTGCCTGTGGAAGCCCAGCCAGCCCTCTGGCACCTCCGCACTTCCTCCCAGTTTCTGTGTGGTCTCCACTTTTCCTCCTTGGTGATGAGGGTGCTCTCTAGCTCGTCTTCAGTTGCATTTGATTATTCAGGATGATTTTTCTTTATTTTAGTTGTAATTCCAGTTTGGTCCTGGGAGAGTGTCATTGTAGCTTCCCCTCAGTCCACCACCATCTTTAATCCCCTCTACCTGATTTCTTTTATT